AACTTGACACACAGAACTCCCATGATCAACAGAAAATACTGGAAGGATTTGGTGGACATTGACCTTGAGTTTGAGAGTTGTAGTTCACCTACATCCAGAGAGCACTGTGGACTCCAACAATGATGGATCTGGGCCAAACTTGCATGAATACTCAATATGCCCAAATGTGAACACTAGTGGAGTTTGGAGAAAATAGAGCTTGACATTTGGGAGTTGTAGGAACAAAGTTTTACATAGTATAATATATTACTTAAGCAACCTGAGGCAGGATAAAAATAAAGATGATGATGATTTATTTTTTGTCGTGTCAGGAGTGACTTGAGAAACTGCAAGTCGCTTCTGGTGTGAGAGAATTGGCTCTCTGCAAGGATGTTGCCCAGGGAATGCCCGGATGTTTTTGATGTGTTACCATCCTTGTGGGAGGCTTCTCTCATGTCCCTGCATGGGGAGCTGGAGCTGATAGAGGGAGCTCATCTACGCTCTCCCCGGGATTCGAACCTGTGGCCTGACGGTCTTCAGTCCTGCCAGCACAGGGGTTTAACCCACTGCGCCACCGGGGGCTCCTTACACAGTAAATAACATTTTAAAAACAACATATTGAACAAATTTAAACTAAATCCAGACAAGACAGAGGTCCTCCTGGTCAGTCGTAAGGCCGAACAGGGCATAGGGTTACAGCCTGTGTTGGACGGGGTCCCACTCCCCCTGAAGATGCAGGTTCACAGCTTGGGAGTGATCCTGGACTCATCGCTGAGCCTGGAACCCCAGGTCTTGGCGGTGGCCGGGAGAGATTTTGCACAATTAAAACTTGTGCGCCAGCTGCGCCCGTATCTTGGGAAGCCGGATCTGGCCACGGTGGTCCACGCTCTTGTTACATCCCGTATAGATTACTGCAACGCTCTCTATGTGGGGTTACCTTTGAAGACTGCCCCGGAAGCTGCAATTAGTCCAACGCTTGGCAGCCAGGCTACTAACGGGAGCGGGGTACAGAGAGCGCACAACTCCTCTGTTGCACCAGCTCCACTGGCTGCCAATTAGCTTCCGAGCACAATTCAAAGTGCTGGTTTTAACCTACAAAACCCTATATGGTTCCGGCCCAGTTTACCTCTCCGAATGTATTCTCCCCTATGAACCATCAAGAGTATTAAGATTGTCTGGAGAGGCCCTGCTCTCGGTCCCGCCACCTTCACAGGTGCGTCTGGTGGGAATGAGAGACGGGGCCTTTTCTGTGGTGGCTCCTCGGCTATGGAATTCCCTCCCAAATGAAATTAGATCTTCCCCCTCCCTCCTGACCTTTAGGAAGCTAGTTAAAACATGGCTGTGGAATGAAGCTTTTGCGGAATGATATCTGAGACCGGCAATTGACCAAAGTTACTGACCACAATATATGGACTGAATATACGGACTGAGTTGACATGATTTTATCTTGGCGAACAGCTGTTATGTAATTTATCCTATATGTATTGGTTAATTTTAATGTTGATGTATGATATTTTAGATTTTAGTGTTAGCATTGAATTTTGTTGTCAGGCGGTCTGAGTCCCTCTATGGAGGTAGAGAAGATCGGGATATAAAAGTTTTAAATAAAGAAATAATAAAGAAATATATAGTTTATTGTAGGTTTTTTTGGGCTATATGGCCATGGTCTAGAGGCATTTTCTCCTGACGTTTCGCCTGCATCTATGGCAAGCATCCTCGGAAGTAGTGAGGATGCACCTCACTACCTCTGAGGATGCTTGCCATAGATGCAGGCGAAACATCAGGAGAAAATGCCTCTAGACCATGGCCATATAGCCCAAAAAAACCTACAACAACCCAGTGATTCCGGCCATGAAAGCCTTTGACAATACAAATAAATATATAATAAATAAGTTATAAAATAAATATAAAAGACAGTTTGCCAAGTTAAAAACATCATCCAACTCAATCCAAACGTTGTGGTCCAATAACTCTTAGTCTTTACCGGTTCAATCCATCAATCTGTGAATGCCTGATTCTACAGCCAGGATTTCACTTGCCTCCTGAAGGTCAGGAGGGAGAGGGCAGACCTAACCTCCTTTGGGAGAGAGTTCTATAGCCGGGGGGCCACCACAGAGAAGGCTCTGTCTCTCATCCCCACCAACTGCAACGGTGGTGGGACCGAGAGCAGGGCTTCTCCAGAAGATGTTAAAGTCCTTGATGGTTTACAGGGGAAGATATGTTCGAACAGGTAAACTGGGCCAGAATTGTGTAGAGCAGTGGTTCTCAACCTGGGGTCAATCCGTGGGAGTTTTTGGCCTTCAACTCCCAGAAATCCTAACAGCTGGTGAACTGGCTGGGATTTCTGGGAGTTGTAGGCCAAAAACATTTGGGGTCCCCAGGTTGAGAACCACTGGTGTAGGGTTTTAAAGGTTTAAACCAGCACTTTGAATTGTGCTCCGAAGCTAATTGACAGCCATTGGAGCTGGTGTAACAAGGGAGTTGTGCGCTCCCTTTACCCCGCTCCCATGAGATAGAGGTTGCTCTGGCTGCTGAGCATTGGACTTGTTGGAGCTTCCAAGTAGTCTTCAGAGACAATGATGATGATGATGTTAGTAGTGTTATTAGCCTACTCACTTTACACGACATTATATATAGTCACACTTCTACTTTTAATAAAGCTCTTATAATTCATTGCGCCGGGCCTCGTTTCTGGATCCGCGAGGGCCGCACATCAGCAGGTCGTCGACATATAGAAACATGAAAGGTCCATTTGACTTATTTCTGGCATCAGAACTGCAAAGGCAGCTCGCCCAAAACGGGTGCACATACCTTCTTGCTGTGTTTCATTMCCTTTCAGCAGCTCGGATTTGCAGGAAAGGACATTTCCAATCAGCGCTCCAATAAATCTGCCACCCCCCCCCTTTCCCCCCCCTTTATTTGCCCTTCAGAAAGAGGGAGGCTTTGCAAGTGACCCCAGAGCATTACCGGAACACCATAAAAACGTCTGSCTAATAAAGGCTTCTTTGTGGGGAGAAGGGGGAGGCAAAAGGGATGGGAACGGCCTTTGACCCCCCCCCCCCCAAGGTGGTGTTGATGGAGATTACGGGCAAAGGCACCTGCTGCCTCCGGGCAGGTAATAAACCTGATTTATTGACCTGGCCCAAGAGCAAGAGCGGCCAGGTTGCTGGAGCTCTCCTGCTGCGGAGGAGAGTGAGTAAGTCTTAAATTTCATTAGGTGATAAATACTGAGAGCGAATCAATTTGGTAGGAAAGCTAATTAGCCTGCGCACGGCTTCACATCGATCTCAGAGCATAGGCCCTCGGAGGAAAACCTCGGGTTTCAATCTTCTGTCTACACACGGCAAAATAACACTGATTTTTTCCCCCCACCTCTTCCCAGGGTACTTTGGGATGTGTAGTTCAATTATCTTAAATGAAGAAATTTGTCTACAATGCAGAAACGATGCTGTTCTGCACTATTTTGAGCTGTCATGGTGTAATGTTATGTTGTGGAATACTGGAAGTTGCCGTTTTGCAAGGACTTTAGCGTTCCCTGCCAAAAAGTGTCAGTGCTTCGCCACTTTAATTGCCATTGAAATCTAGGAGTTGTAGTTTTACAAGGTCTGTAGCCTTCCCTGGCAAAGAGTGCTGGTGGCTTGCCATACTACAGCTCTCGGTATTCTCTGGGATTGAGCTGTGGCAGTTTTTTTTAATTTATCATGTCATCTGCAACCAGAACATTGTATTACATTTCTAACAGAACAAAACAAACAAACAGATTAAAAAAAAATCCCACAAATTTTGCAAACTTGGTATCTGATTAAATGTCCTTTGACAAGAAGGTCCTCCATTGTGCATGTGGCTGGGCTCAGGTTACATTGCAGCAGGTGGTCAGAGGTTTGCTCTTCTCCACACTCGCATGTCGTGGATTCCACTTTGTGGCCCCATTTCTTGAGGTTGGCTCTGCATCTCGTGGTGCCAGAGCGCAGTCTGTTCAGCGCCTTCCAAGTCGCCCAGTCCTCTGTGTGCCCAAGGGGGAGTCACTCATCTGGTATCATCCACGGATTGAGGTGCTGGGTTTGAGCCTGCCACTTTTGAACTCTTGCTTGCTGAGGTGTTCCAGAGAGTGTCTCTGTAGATCTTAGAAAACTATTTCTTGATTTAAGTCGTTGACGTGCTGGCTGATACCCAAACAGGGGATGAGCTGGAGATGTCTCTGCCTTGGTCCTTTCACTATTGGCTGCAACTTCCTGGCGGATGTCAGGTGGTGCAATACCGGCTAAGCAGTGTAATTTCTCCCGTGGTGTAAGGCGCAGACATCCCGTGATAATGCGGCATGCTGTGGCAGTTAACATGGTGGAAGGAAAAATATGGTGCAGCTACACTATAAAACTAATTCAGTTTGGAATCACTTTAATTGCCATGTCTCAGTCCCGTGGAATCATGGGAGCTGTGGTTTTACAAGGTTTTTACCCTTCTCTGCCAAAAAGGTCCTGGTGGCCACCATACTACAACTCCCATTATTCAATTGTATTAGATAGTATTACATTCATTATGCAGTGTAGGTTCACCCTAAAGTCTCTCAATCAAACTCCAAATCTCAGGTTTCCTTAGGAAGAGTTATGAAACTGGATACTATAAACCAGGCATGGGCAAACGTTGGCCTTCCCTCCAGGTGTTTTGGACTTCAACTTCCACAAGTAGGCTGTTAGGAATTGTGGAAGTTGAAGTCCAGAACACATGGAGGGAAGGCCAGTTTGCCCGTGCCTGGTGTAGATGCACCCAAGGCCGTGCACCAAACCGAAAATTCCAGAAATTCCAAAGAATAGTGACATGGCAGTTATAGCAGATTGAAAGTGCACACTGTGAAAGGGATACAGGCTGAAAGATGCATTGTGTATGTAGCTTTTTTCCCCCATTTTACACAAGTATTGCTCTTTGACTGCCAGACATGCATATTTGGTCTGATAAGGACCCGTGCATCCATTGTGTCTTTACACTTGTGTGTTCTCTTCCTTGTCCCCCCTCCCATTTCCCAGGTGGTGAAAGTGGTGGGCAGCAACATCTCCCACAAGCTGCGCCTCTCCCGGGTGAAGCCCACGGACGAAGGGACCTATGAGTGCCGTGTCATCGACTTCAGTGACAGCCTGGCCCGCCACCACAAGGTCAAGGCCTACCTGCGGGTGGAAGCCGACGACGACAACAATGCTGCCCCGCGACGCCACAACGGCCTCGGTCCTTTGCCTGGCGGGCACCTCCAAGACACCCAGCCACTCTCAGGGCTCCCGCAAACTGACCACGGCAAACTGACCGCCTCCCACCCGCACCACCAACACCACCACAAGCCGGGCAAGGAACTCAAGAAGCGCTCCGTGGCGGACGATGCCTCCTGCACCCTCTAAGCGGGTCGACGCTGGGAGCGGGGCCACAACAGGATGGCTGGCTGGCTGGAGGTCCTTCCTCCTCCATCCCTCCTCCTCCTCTTCCTCATCCCACTCTCAGAGGCACCCCATGACCTTTCGTTGGGTGACATTGGTTGGCCAAGGTCAACGGCTGGTCTTGTAGAATTGACACCGTGAAACCAGAGATGCTGCCTTCTTACCCAGTTACCCTGTCTCTCCTGTCATTTTTTTGGGGGTGGCATCAAGGTGGCCAGATCCTGCAGAATTGATGCCTTGAAAGCAGAGGTGCCATCTTCTACCCAGTTATACCAACTCTCCTATCCTTTGTTGGGGTGACATTGATGTGGCCAGGTCAACGATGACATCCCAAAACCAGAGAGGCCACCTTCCACCCCATTATACCATCTCTTCTTTTTTGGGATGACATCAAGGTGGCCAGGTTAACGTTGGGTCCTGCAGAATTGATGCCATGAAAACAGAGATTCCACCTTCTACCCCATTGGCGTGTCTCTCCTGTCCTTTTCTTGAGTGGCATTGGGGCGGCCAGGTCAATGTTGGGTCCTGCAGAGTTGACACCGTGAAGCCAGAGGTGCCACCTTCTGTCCCATTATCCTGGCTCTCCTGTCCTTCGTTTGGGTGGCAAGGTCAATTATGGGTCCTGCAGAACTGATGTTATGAAAGCAGAGATGCCACCTCTTATCCCATTACTCCATCTTTCCTGTCCTTCTTTTGGGTGGCTAGGTCAACATTGTGTCCTGCAGAATTGACCAGAGATGCCACTCATTCCACATCCGCATGACAACCCTTCCGCCACCACAATTCCCTGTCAACTAGATATACCTATTTTAAACATTCTCCATCCTCTGAAGAAGTCCGTCTTGCACAAACTGGAGCCACTGAAATAGATGTTGGGATTTTGGAGTTCCACCAAACAGTTGGTGACCTTCTCGTTGGCACCGACCCCAATGCTTGGATGGCAGATGCTGTGATTGGCATCCCATTTGACTCCTGGACCACTTGGAGATGCTCTTGACCTCCTAAAATGGAGGTGGCCAATTTTGAGGTTGGGTTACGCTCTTCCGTTGGCGTGTTCTCTTGCTTGTTAATGTCCAAATGAGTGGGAGAAGGGTTGGTCCTGAGGAATGCAGCAGAAGAGCCATTTTGGCCCCTTTGGGTGGCCTGAAAGCAGGGTTGGTTGGCTCTGAAGGACCAAAGATGGACTTGAAGTCTTGGACGCCTTGCTGGGCCTTCCTTCGAAGAAGGACACCTCGAATCCCTTTACCGTTTGCATTGCTAGCTTCCTCCTGCCATTTGTGAGCCCTGCGGGTTTCCTTTCTTTCTTCACCTTGCTTTGTACAATACTTCGGGGAAAGGGGAGGGGGATTTGTGTGCCATTTTGAACCCTTACTTTGAACGCACTTGCTCTCCACTTATATTACAATGAACATGGATGACTGTATAACTGTAAATATAAATGACCGGTCTGCTCAGTATTGCCCCTATAATGTATGCACAGTGGGAGAAGGGGGTGTCCAAAAAGGTGCATTAAAGCACCTCCGCTCTGAGGCCACAAAGTACAGAATGACCCAGAGATCAATTCCTGACCTTTGCTGAAAGTTACCATAGAATTGCCTTGGAAGAGCGAGGTACCATAGAAGTCTGAATTTGCTAGGCCTTCCAGGGCAACCCTATGGAACCCATCAGGAGGATCTAGAAAATTCACAGAGAGGTAGAATGAATGCAGTGTGTTGTTGTAGGTTTTTTCGGGCTGTATGGCCATGTTCTAGAGGCATTCTCTCCTGACGTTTCGCCTGCATCTGTGGCAAGCATCCTCAGAGGTTGTGAGGTCTATGGCAAGCAACCTCTGAGGATGCTTGCCATAGATTACTTACTTACTTACTTGGGCGATCCCTCATTGGACGAGTAAGATGGTCTTCCATTATGGGTTTCCTTGTGGGTCTGTATGTGGCTGTGGAGCCCTATTCTTGCTCTGCATCTTCTTCCGCAGTGAGGGCATTGGTTTCCAGGTGGAAGGCGGTCCCGGTTGGGGTTGGCTTGATGCGCCTTCCTCCTGGCACGTTTCTCTTTCACCCTCCACTCGTGCCTCCTCAAATTCTGCAGCACTGCTGGTCACAGCTGACCTCCAGCTGGAGCGCTCAAGGGCCAGGGCTTCCCAGTTCTCAGTGTCTATGCCAGAGTTTTTAAGGTTGGCTTTGAGCCCATCTTTTAATCTCTTTTCCTGTCCACCAATGTTCTGTTTTCCGTTCTTAAGTTCAGAGTAGAGCAACTGCTTTGGGAGACGGTGGTCAGGCATCCGGACAACGTGGCCGGCCCAGCGGAGTTGATGTTGGAGGACCATCGCTTCAGCTGGTGGTCTTTGCTTCTTCCAGCACACTGACGTTTGCCCGCTTGTCTTCCCATAGATGCAGGCGAAACGTCAGGAGAGAATGTCTCTAGAACATGGCCATACAGCGTGAAAAAACCTACAACAACCCAGTGATTCCGGCCATGAAAGCCTTCAACAATACACAGAATGAATGCAGTTTGACTCCACTTTCATTGCCATGGCTCTAAGCTATGAGAATTATAGTTTGGTGAGCACTTGTTAGCACAGAAGGCTAAAAGCCTTGTAGAACTGCAACTCCCAGGGTGCCATAGCATTGTGCCATGGCAGTTAAAGTGGGGTCAAACTGTAGTCTAAATGTTTCCCCTTCCCTTGAATACCTTCCAAAAAAAGAAGGCTAGGAAGCATTGAATTGGGGTTGGATTGGATAACCACTGGGGGACCCCAAGCATTCCAGGTTTTTCCTATTGTTAAGCAGAGGATGCAAAGTGGCATCATCCAAAGCTTCCCAGGTAACTCAACCAGCCCACCTCCCTTCCTTCTCCACCTCAGGCCACTTGTATATATTTCGATTTGCTTTGTCTCACCTAGAGAGAGGCCACTGCCTAAGAAACCCAGATAGGAAATCTACCCAGGGGAGAGTTGTGAATATTTTTCTTGGGGAGGGATGTCTTTTTCCTCACTAAAGGATTAGATCTGCTTATTCAGTGGGGATGCCTTTTGGAATGCAGTCTCCTTCTCACATCCTGGGCTTCGAAGGTCAGACTAGATGGCAACGAGAGACCCCATCTAACCCGGGATATTACAAAAACTACAAATCTTCCCTACTTAGCAGCTGGTGGTTTTGTGAGCAGAGGCCGGCAGTTTTTCCTGATGCAAACTGTCCATATGGACCAGTCTGTGACCAGCTGACGTGAATAAAAGATCTTCAAATGGGTTTGGATGTTTCAGTGTCTTTATTTGCACCGAGAACTGTTTGAAAGAGGAACAGACTCCTTCCGAGGATGATGGGCTTGGTTGCACTAAACATAAATCCAGGAATCCATTGTCTCTTGGTTGCACTAAGGCAGCTTGAAGCAGAAGTTGCACAACTCTTTTGTAATAAGGTTGCTGAATTGAAAACTGGAGTGGGCTCTGCCCCTGGGGCTCGGAGCAGCTTACAAGAACAGGCTAAAATCTAACACAATTTTAAAACAATTTTAAAACAATTTTAAAACAGCAATATCAAAGARCTGTCGAAACAGATATGTCTTCCATGCCCTGCGGAAAGCTGATAAGTCCTGCAAGGCACGGACTTCAGGTGGCAGAGCATTCCAGACTGATGGTGCCACTGCTGTGAAGGCTCTGCGTCTGGTTGCTGTTAGGCACAAGGTCTTGACACTGGGAATTTCCAACAGATCTTGTTCCTCAGAACGGAGGGATCTCTGGGGTTGGGAGGGCYTGAGGCGGTCCCTCAGGTACATCGGCCCCAGACCACGCAAGGCCTTAAAGGTGAGTACCATCACTTTGAAAGTGATCCTGTGCTCAATGGGTAACCAATGCAGCTGCAGTCAGATTGGGGTMATGTGGCATCTCATCGGAATTCCCGCAAGAAGCCGAYCAGCTGCGTTTTGTACCAACTTGAGCTTCCAAATCACCAACAGAGGAAGGCCAATGTAGAGGGCATTACAGTAGTCCAGCCTGGAGATGACCGTGGCCTGGATCACCGTAGCGAGGTCYTCCCTGGACAGGGAGGGGGGCAGCCGTCTAGCTTGCCGCAGGTGAAAGAAGGCGTTTCTGCTCACGGCGTAGAGAGACCTGGGCCTCCATCCTCAGCAGAGGGTCCAAAAGGACTCCCAGACTCTTGACCAACGATGATGGGCGTAGCGCCTCGCCATCCAGGGTAGACAGCTGGATATCCCCACTGCCTGGTTGACCCATCCATAGGATCTCCGTCTTTGCTGGATTCACCCTCAACCTGCTGGCACACAGCCATCCAGTCATGGCCTCGAGGCACTGATGGAAATAATCGGGGACAGAGTCCAGTCTGCCCTCCATCCTCAGCACTAGCTGAGTGTCATCAGCGTACTGGTACTCCAGCGTACTGGAGTAGCCCAAAACCTCGGACCAGCTGAGCAAGTGGTCGCTTATAGATATTAAACAACAGAGGGGAGAGAATGGCCCCCCGAGGAACCCCACAAGAGAGAGAGAGGGGACCTCTCAGAGACCAGGCCTCCCCTCTCCACTCGCTGTCCACGGTTGTGAAGAAAGGAGGGGAGCCAGTTTAAAGCTCTCCCCTTGACTCCATCAGCAGCAAGGCGGTGGGTCAAGAGATTGTGGTCGACTGTGTCAAATGCTGCTGTGAGATCCAATAACACAAGCAGCGCCGACCCGCCCTGGTCAAGCTGGCATCGAAGGTGATCCGTGATGGAGACCAGCACAGTCTCTGTCCCGTTCCCCGCACGGAAGCCGGACTGGAAGGGATCTAGTCCGGCTGTGTCGTCTAAGAATTGCTGCAGCCTGTTTGCATGACAAGCAGCTTTGCTGATATTTTATCTTTTACACATGCAACACAAAACGCACAAGTAGTCCTTGCTGGACTGGCCAGTGAAATGAATTCTTGGTCATACATTTCAGTTTGTGAGCTGAAAATCTGCTTGCACGGTTGCACAAAGTAGATCAATGAGCACAAAGTGCTACCCAAACTTTGGTCTTCCAAGTGCTTTGGATATCAGCTCCCAGAATCCCTGATCATTGGCCAAAGCAGCTGGGGCTTCTGAGGGTTGAAATCCAAAACACTTGGAGCACTAGAATAGGGGTCCTCGAACTAAGGACCGGATACGGCCCTCCAAGGTCATTTACCCGGCCCTTGCTCAGGGTCAACCTAAGTCTGAAATGACTTGGAAGCACACAACAACAATCCTATCTCATCACCCAAAAGCAGGTCCACACTTCCCATTGAAATACTAATTTATTCATGTTGAGGGACTGTGACCTGGCCCTCTGTTTAAAAAGTTTGAGGATTCTGGCACTAGAAGTTGCGATTCACTGCACAAAGTAGACCAATGCGTAAAGTCAGCCAATGTGCAGAGTAGGCCAATGCACAAAGTAAACAAATGCACAAAGGAGGCCAATGCACAAATCAGACAAATATACCAATGTGAACCAATGCACAAGATAGACCAGGCATGGGCAAATTAAGACCCGGGGGCCGGATGCAGCCCCCTGGACACTTACCTCAGGTCTTCCCCATTTTCCCTGTCCTCTTAGCATGACATAATGCAGAAAGGACAGGGGAGGAGTGCTCTCTGGAGCGCTCTCAGCCACCGCATGACTTGCCCTCCTTCCGGCATAAGGACAATGTGAATGGCCCCATCCTTATGCCGAGAGGACAGCCCAAAGATTGGGAAGGAGGATCGGGGCAGTCACCACATGTCTCATTTTCCTTCAGGCAAATGGATGGAGAAAGCAGCCTCACACTTACTTAGGTGATTCCTCATTGTCAGAGTAGGATAGTCTTCCAGGATCATGTTGTGGTGGGTCCGCAGGTGACTGCGGAGCCCGATTCTTGATCTGCATGTTCTCCCGCAGTGAGGGCATTGGTTTCCAGACGGAAGGTGGTCCCGGTTGGGGTTGGCTTGATGTGCCTTCCTCTTGGCACATTTCTCTCTTTCGGCCTCCATTCGTGCCTCTTCAAATTCCACAGCACTGCTGGTCACAGCTGACCTCCAGCTGGAGCAGTCAAGGGCCAGGGCTTCCCAGCTCTCAGTGTCTATGCCACAGTTTTTAAGGTTGGCTTTGAGCCCATCTTTGAACCTCTTTTCCTGTCCTCCAAAATTCCATTTTCCGTTCTTGAGTTCAGAGTGGAGAAACAGCTTTGGGAGAATGTGGTCAGGCATCCGGACAATGTGGCCGGTCCAGTGGAGTTGATAGCGGAGGACCATCACTTCTATGCTGGTGGTCTTTGCTTCTTCCAGCATGCTGACATTTGTCCGCTCCATTCTTATGGCAGAACAACCCGAGGATGACCTGGGCCCTGACCCGGCCCCACCCTCTTGGCCCCACCCTCTTGGCCGTTCTACCAAGTGCCTGCCCAGCCACCTTCCCTCCCGGCCTGGCCCTCTCGGTCAGTGCTACAAATTTATTTATTTATTTATTTCATATACTTCTACCCCGCCCTTCTCAACCCCTGAGGGGGGACTCAGGGCGGCTTACAAAAAGGCACATCTTGGTGCCTGCACAAATACAATAACATATAAAAGCAGCAATTAAATGTTCAACAATTGAAAACAATTAAAACAACCATATATCACACAATCAATAGCCAATCTCAGACACAGCGTTCGCCACTCAGAGTACATATTTCGTTCCACCTTGTCCAGTTCCTATCCATCGTCACAGTCCCTTACTTGTGACAGAGGCGGGGTCGAGAGCAGGGTCTCCCCAGAGGATCGCAGACTCTGAAATGGGACGTAAAGGGAGATGCGTTCGGACAGATACGCTGGGCCGGAACCGTATAGGGTTTTGTAGGTCAAAACCAGCACTTTGAATTGTGCTCGGAACTGGATTGGCAGCCAGTGGAGCTGATATAACAGGGGGGTGGTATGCTCCCTGTATAACGCTCCAGTGAGCAATCTGGCTGCCTCCCGCTGGACTAATTGAAGTTTCCGAACAGTCTTCAAAGGCAACCCCACGTAGAGTGCGTTGCAGTAATCTATCCGGGATGTAACAAGAGCGTGGACCACCGTGGCCAGATCCGACTTCCCAAGATACGGGCACAGCTGGCGCACATGTTTTAATCATGCAAAAGCTCTCCCGGCCACCGCCGAGACCTGGGGTTCCAGGCTCAGCAATGAGTCCAGGATCACTCCCAAGCTGTGAACAAAGTGGCCCCAAGGCATAAAAGTTTGCCCATGCTTGAGATAAACCAATGCACAAAGGAAATCAATACACAAATCAGACCAAAACACAAGATAGACCAATGCACTAATTAGACAAATACACACAGTAGACCAATCTGCACAAAATAGGCAAATGTACAGAGTAGACTGATGCGCAAAGCCTTTCTTCCTTCTCCTCCGCTGCACCTTCGTCCAGACATTAAATTCTGCCGAGCCCTCTAAGTAGCCCAACTGCTTCCTTGTCAGAAGAGAAATACAGACCCACTGGAGGCGGGGAGGCTGTTTTGTTGGAAAGGCAAAGCCCTAATCATGGCTCACCGGTATATCTTTGCTGGCCTGGCACTTTCTTCTTCTTTACCTGCCCTTTTCTGCCCTCCTGTCAGGCAGATGTATGTCTTCCTTGGGAAGAAAAAGAGTACGGAATGGGAGGTTGGCTGAGGTTTGCCAAAGGCTGATGCTGGCAATATGGGATTGCCCCTCCTGCGAATTGCTCCAGAAGAAATGGAAACCCTTTACAGGGAATCGCAGAGATGGGAGTCACCCTGCAAATCAAGCCATGGTTTGGAAAACGGATGATTACACTCATCAAACAAA